TTTATTTTTTTAAAGAAATTCCTAGAATGTTTATTAGACACATTATGATATATGAGATACTAAGAGAAAGATAGAAACAATTCAGGTACTTTTACTTACTGTATTTTCTGGCGTATAAGATGACTTTTAACCCTGGAAAATCTTCTCCAAAGTCGGGGGTCGTCTTATACGCCGGGTATAGGGTCTATATGGCTGCTGGGGGCGCCCTGCACACCCATCGCCGGCCCTTCTAATGCTGCAGCCACCTGAGCGCTCTATAGAGAGCGCTCAGACGGCTGCCGCACTGCCTCTCTTCTCTCTTCTCACCTCCCCTTCCCTGTGCAGAGTGGGTGGCCGAGCTCCTCTTCGTCCTGTCAGTCCGGCCAGGTACCGCGCGGTACAGGAGATTCAGTTACCTGTTCCCGGCCGGACTGAAAGGAAGTGCACACTGACAGGGAGAGGAGGAGCTCGGGCATCCACTCTGCACAGGGAAGGGGAGGTGAGAAGAATGTAGGGGAGGATTGGGGGGAAAAAAGAATGGGGAGTAAAAAGAATATATCGCAATTAGCCTCCTGTGTGCTAGACCAGCAGGCATGGATTATATGCCCCAACAGCCTGGCACATACCTGGGCTTTAAATGCTATTTCAGATTATCATTGTTTAATGTCTTGCTGTGTAGCTCTGTCTGCTCACTGTACATCACTGCTAATTTTTTTTTTGTGTGCATTGGAAGAGGGGTAGTCTTATACGGCGAGGATATCCCAAACTCTATATTTTAACTGGAAAAGTTGGGGGTCGTCTTATACGCCCAGTCGTCTTATAGGCCGGAAAATACGGTAATATATTCAATATCTTATAAGATTTTACTGTGTGTTATTTTAACATCAATTTTATCTGCTCTATATCAAGTATATCATATTTATATGTTTTGCATGCTTTATTTTAAATATATATATCTCCCCATCTCTTTTAACCTATGTACTTCTATGTATTATCCCATCATGAATGCATTTTATTAAATCAAATATCTTCCCCACCTCCTTTTATGAGGTTTATCTTCCCTTTTTAATATATTCTGTGTGTCCCCACCCCCTTTTCTCTCTTTGTATATGCTGCCGAGCATCTTTATGGACCATTTAAGGACATAAAATCACAAATGGAGTTGTGGAATGCATCCATACATTCCAATTAGAAGGACTTGCCAATACAAAGTTTAGAAAGAGGAAGTAATCACAGTGGAGCACAGGGTTGCGTTCTAACACCAACAAAAGAAACCAGAACTACGTCAGACGCGAATAGATGCCGCGTTCCAATAATGGAATGCAAAACCGGAACAGGAAGTAAATCGACTAAAACGCAAGACACCTGAAAACGGCGAACATAACCATTTAAAAGAAGAACAGACTCCAGACTCACAGCACCTGAGGAAGCCTCCCAGAGAGGCGAAACGTGTTTTTCACACCATAAGGCCTTACTACTCATATTGTAAGAACTTTTTATTCTATTTTTATTTGTATTTATGTTTGGTGCACTTTATGGATATTAAAGCACTTTAATCAACACATGAGTTTGTGGCAACAATCAACAAGTTAAAGCTACCACAGTATACAGAAGAGGGAGTGGAACCCGATAAACCTCACTAAGCTGATATTTTGAGCCGAGAATATACTGGCTCTTTACTTGTGAGTGCATTTGCATATATTTATTCACCTTAATACTCATATACAGACAATATTGCGCTAGTGTTTGTCTTCCTTTTGTTTACCTTTAGGACTACACTCCTTTAGGATCTACCATACCAGTCTCTCTCATACTGTATGTAATATACTCCACCTTGTGTATATTTTGATTTTGTATTTGTTGTTGTGGGTTAAGGGGATCCCACATAGGTGTTAGAGTAGCAGACATTGTGTGGAAACTCACTTGGATTTTCTTTTTATATTGATTTAAGCCTCCAGTGGTTGTCTACAAGACAGCCACTGGGGGCGCTTCCTGGATCGAAACGGACCTTTGATCTGGTATCTAACGCTGGATGTCCTCACGATCTGCATTACAATGCTTTCCTATGGAGAGGTCTAATGGGCGAGCGGCATTTGCCACACGTGCATTAGTGCCCACTCGTCACGGTACAGCAAAGGGGGCAGGGCATCAACCCAGCGCCAAGGGACATTAGCGATGGGATAAGGCAAGTAAATAAAGGGTTTCTAAATCGAGGAAACACAAATTCTATCGACACATACTAGATTTCACACTTTCATAACTTGAAGTACTCCTCCCTAGTGAAGTAATACTGTATACCTTTACTTTTGTTCTGTTATGTTTCACTATTATACACGCAAGAGTTGTTTACATTAAATTTGACCTCCCTTTGCAACATTCCTCATCCATTGTTATGGACAACCTCATGTATATATTGTATACGCAATGTTATATTGTCTCTCCTAATGGTACAAAGTCATGTGTACCTTATAAATATGTAACAACTTCACCTATGTTAAATGACTATGTAATATTTATAAAAGATAAAGATACAGTGTGTAGGCGCTTCACAATTGAATAAAACAAACTAACACATGGCCCAGAAATCAGTGGGTGGTGTGACTAATATAATAGTGCTTCCCCAACACTTAAGTCATAAAATACCTGAATAAGCCTGAATTGGCACATTCGAGCTTGTTATACAGAGCCTGGTATGGCTCTGGACCATGTGAGTGGTAGTCCTATATTTATTCTACACCTTTTGGTTTTTACAGTTCACACTATCTTGGTTTATTTTTATCTTTTAGGTACCTTCCATTATTACATCTATATACGTTGTATTACTCATTTTATATTTTACACTGCGATTTGTGCACACACTGACATATGTATTCTTGGTATTTTATGTAATATTTATATTCTGCTGAAAAACCAATAAAATGTAAATAAAAAATATAAAAAGTTGACTCCACTCTTCACTGTATCACCGTATTGAAGGATACAGGAGCTGCAAAGCTGTAACTATCTCAAGAATGACCAACAGCCCTGTGCTTGGGCGCATTACTGATTTCACAAGTGTTATACGAATTATGTTACATAGGTAATTAAAAACTATGTCATAGTAGAAAAATGTATTTTAAGATAGCAAAGTAATGCAATTAGAATATAAGCAGTCACTGGAAACATTGGTCATTGGTTGTTTTTTTGTTGTTGTTTTTTTACATATTGCTCTAGGGGACAAGAATAGGGTGATTTTACACAGATGTCTGACACAGTAAAGATGCATAATTGGTGTTTGTGAAAAGGTAGGTATTGGTGTAACATAAAGGACAACTGTTATTAAATGTTCACATCCCATTTCTTAAACTTTTATTACATTTAATTAACTTATTGATGTATCTTTAAATGATGTGTATATATTTATTTTTTAGAAAATTTCACTTTTAATTTCGGGCTGAGCAGCCATGTGGAGTGAGACACTACTGTTACCCGACTAACCGCTGCTCAAACTGCTGTGATTGCTCTGTGTAAAAGTGCAGCAGCAGGCAAGTTAGGTTGAGCACCACTTCGTCAGATAACAGTACACCGAATATGGCTTGTCAACCAGCTAAAAAGTGATATTATATATATATATATATATATATATATATATATATATATTCTATATACATAACTTGAATGAAGTTTCATTAAATGTAATACATTTAAAAAAAACAATAGAAGAAGTGAAAATCTGATGACAGTTGTCTTTTCAGAAATGTACATTGAAATTAAAAATATCAAAAGTGATTATTTAAGGGACACTCACAAAAATCTTTTCAGCTACAAATTACCCCACCCCCACTGAGTGATATTCTAAATAACTAAAACCGCATGTGATGCAAACACTGAAAGCCGACCACTATTCAAATAGATTGCCCTTTAGTTAGTTCCTACTTAGATCTTAAATGGAGTTTATAGCTCACATGTGCCATTACATAAAAAAAAAAAAAACTATAGCATTTGCAATTTAGTCTGATCCCACCCAAAGGGGTAGTCCAAAAGCATAATGCAGACAACTGCTTATGCAAAGGAGATACAGCAATTCATTTTTTTTTTTTTCATCATGTCTTTTCTGTAAAGAATGTGGCTGATACCACTTTAGGCACAGATGTGGGTCCACATCATTGTTAGCCTTTTGAAAGGTGAAGGACTAATTTAGACTTCTCAGCCACTTACTGGATACAGACATATATACACACACACACACATACATCCATACTAGAGATAGACCGATAATCAGTTCAGACGATATTCTGGATTTTGGAAAATGTCAGTATCGGCCACTAATGTGAGAGGCGGTGGTGGCCCAGCGCATGCAGGGCCGGCTCATCCATAGGGCAGCACAGGCGGCCGCCTTAGGGTGCACCAGTACTGGGGGCGCAAGAATAGAGTGCCCGGCAGGAAGGAAGCGCACAGCGCTCCCCTCTACCTGTCATTCAGTGTAGCGTGGTTGAGCAGAGCAGAGCGGACCACGATACAGGAGCTTCAGTTTTCTGTAACTGGTCGGACTGACAGAAAGTGCTTCCTGAGAGGGCACTTCCTGTCAGTCCGTCCAGGTACAGGAAACTGAAGTTCCTGTACCGCGGTCCGCTACGCTACAAGAGAGATAATGATGCACACCAGGGAAGGGGAAAGGACCACTAAGGAGGGGGGGAGGCACACACTAAAGGACAGGGAGGGAGAGAGGTGAGGGATGAGGACCATTAAGGGACAGGAAGGGGAGGGGAGAGTAACACTAAGGACAAGGAGAGAAGGTGAGGGGAAAAGTGTTTAATACCTCTAACATTGTGGCTTTTGATGCCCTGAACACAAATGTAAAGCTGAGCCTGTTGTTGTGAGAGGGACTTGGTTCTGGCACACCACAACCGTCTTACCTGTGTATGTTTAACACCTCTAACATTACGGTTTTTGATGCCCCGAACACAAATATATATTTCCATGTGCCTGTACTCCAGTAGGTTTTCTATTTAAAGCCCGGTGCTTGTCTGCAATAACATATAGTTGTAGAGAATGATAGTACTCCAAGGTCTTGTTAAAAGTAAAACTTAACTTTTAGTCAGGTTGTTACCATTAAAACAAATCGTTTTTTTTAACAAGACCTTGGAGTGCTATCATTCTCTACAACTATATGTTATTGTTGTGGACAAGCACTGGACTTTAAATAGCAAACCTACTGGAGTACAGGCACATGGAAATGTGTGTGTGATATATATATGTGTGTGTTCGGAGCATCAAGAGTCGTAATGTTAGAGTTGTTAAACGTACACAGATAAGACTGTTGTGGTATGTATAAACACACACACACACACACACACACACACACACACACACACACACATATATATATATACATACATACATACACTTTTTTTTAATTATTATTATTATTATTTTGTACTCCCGAAAAAGACCAGCCGCACAGCCTGATTTCATGGAATTCTTTTGGGCAGGAGCCTCGTGTGTGGTTGGTCAAATTATGACCTCCATGGAAATTCCGAATCGCTGAACCGATCTGGGTGATTTCTGGATATGTTGATCCTCAAGATCTGGGCTATCAGGGGATGTGACTGTTGTGGGGTTTCCATGTGTTTTAGGGGTACTTATGGGAGGTTGTAAAATGTGTTTTCTGTGCCTGGAGATAACAGTTTAGTATAGTTCCTGACTCAATTATCTCCCAGGCACAGAAGAGGGATTATCTTGTTTTATGTGGGAGTGTCCTGGACCTGAGAGTCAATGTAATCATGTGTATGTTTATGCTGTAGTCTACACTCAGGTCCAGTGGGGAATGACCCTGGAATATGTTTGAGTAAACCCCTTGCATGGGGACTGACATAAAAGGCTGTGTGTGGCTCCCATTAAATAGAACGCTTTACCCCTTCATGAAGTCTAGGCTCATGTTTGGGAGATTTGAGAGCTATATTCACTCTGGGGATTGCTACAATCACTATACTCCCTTGGATTACAACACTTGCTCTTGTAAGAGCAGCCTGCTTTGCTCTCTGGACTAGGAGAGGTCTACCCACTGGAAGCTGGATTCTGGTCTTGGGTCCAGGGTGGGTGGAGCACAGCGAGACCCAACCAAGCTGCGGCGGTTTGTGGGGTTTACGGTGGTTATGGTGTCCGATGTGTTGCTTATGGTACTCAAGCGATTGGCGGAGGTCACAATAGATATACACAAAATGAAAACTTCATGCATTTAAATTATGCATTTTTTCATTGGGTGCATATATAAAAACAGCTTGCAAAACCTTCATATTCTTATTTTCTGCATTTGCAATCATTACCCTTCTAACCCTGCCCAGTCTCTCCGTGACTATCCAATCACAGACTTCTCAGAGCAGTTCAATGAGAAGTCTTTGCAAACCAGGAAGAGATATTACCAGTTGTCTGCTTTAAAGCCAAGGGGGTGTAATCAGATTACTTCATAAGGGTGTCAAAATCTGCTAAAAAAAAAAAAAGGGGGACACATTCTTCACACAAAGATTTTCAGCAAGCTGAATAGTTTTTAGGGGTATGTACTGTCCCTATAAGTAACAAAAAAGAATACAATAAACAACAAAAGAAGGGTCAAACAGTTTTCCAATTCTACCTTCATGGTAAAGCTGTTGCCAGAGGTGTAACACCATCTTTTGCAATGTCATTGGGATGCTATAAGCCAACTCTAGTTTCGGACTAATAATGTCAATTATGTGCAATTTACCATGCATAGAATTGCAATCACTGTCTGAAAGTCACCAACTGATGTTCTCAGCCAAAGAATGCCCAACAGGATCGAAATACAGCTGTGCAGAAGCAAGATGCCGAAAATCCTGCTTTAGAGCAGAGCAGGAGCCCTGCAAGACAAAAGTAAAGGACAAATTGTTGCTAAATGATCAGGATATTATCTAAGAAGGAGAACATACACTGATAAGGCACAATATCATGTGATTCCCCCTCATGCTGTCAACACAGCTCTGATGCATCAAGGCATGGACTCCACAAGACCTGCGTCTTGGTTGGCACCAAAACATTAGCGGCAGATAATTTAACCATCGCAAATTGTGAGGTATGGCCTCTAAGTATCATATTTGCTCTTCCAGTGCATTCCAAAGTTGATCGGATTGAGATCTGGGGAATTTGGAGGCCAAGGCAAAACTTTGAGGATCAAACCATTTCTGAATGTTTTTGCAGTGTAGCAGGGTGCATTATTCTGCTCAAAGAGGTCATTACCATCAAGGCACAACATTGCCATGAACAGGTGTATATGGTCGCCAATCTCATAGGTGATACATGTGCCTGTAACATCCACATGAATGCCAGGGCGCATGTTTCCCAGCAGAACATTGCCCAGAGCATAACACTGCCTCTGCCAGCATGCCTTCTTCCCACAATGCATCATGCGGCCATCTCTTCCCCAGGAAAAAAAAAAAAAAAAAGCACACTGATAAAAAATGTGGTACATCAGACCAGGTAACCTTCTTCCATTGCTCAATGGTCAAGTTCTGATGCTGAGGTCCCCATTGAAGGTGCTTTTGGTGGTGGATGGGGGGCAACATGGGCACTCTGACCAAATTGCAGCTATGCAGCCCTATACGCAGCAAACTGCATTGCACTCTGTGTTCCGATACATTTTTACCATGGGCAGCATTATGTTTTTAAGTTTTTTGGCAGCTTGTCAAGCACTGTTAAAAGAGCTGTGCTCTTTTTAGTCATTTTACATAGAATGTAAAGGAGGAAAAACAGACTCTGATGGATATTTATCAAAGTGTTCTGAAATACGTAAAAAGTAGAAGATTCACCAGTGGAATGCACCTATGTGCTCCACTTTAAGTATTTTGTACAATTTTTCAAAACATGACACTGATAAATCTCCCCCTATATTTATGTTTCTCTTCCTCCAAAACAATGTGTGCCCTGGCTGTCTCTGTACTGAACTAGATTGTGATGTCAATTGCTCAGTCCTTAATTTAGATTAGAAAGAAAACTGAGCATGGCACAAAAAAAAAGTTAAAGGGACTTTTTATGTTTAGTAAATTGTACAATTACCAGTGAAGAGGACTGTTCTTATTTTTGTCTAACTGAATATAATCAAACACAAGATTCATACTCCTTTAATTTTGTGGTTTTGTTTAGTAATTTTGTTCAGCTGTTTGTTTTACAAGAAACAATGTGACATTGGTAATAATGAAACTAAAACTGAAGGCTGCACTGTGATAGGCTATATAACAGCCTGAACCCTAGCAACAAAGCTCTATAAACGCAGGGAGACGTGGGTTTGATGGGGATTATCAAAAATGGTTACTCTGCTACCCTTCAAAGCCCTCTTGATAATAATAATAACAACAACAGGACGAAAAGCAGGTATTTAACCCATTTCCAATATCTGCAAGGGTATGCTAAAATGTGTATGCATACTATTTTATTAACTAGGATTGCCAGTGTATTTCAATATTGTAGTTTTGCATATTATGTTTCTTATTTTACTTGATTATCTGTCTTTTCAGTAAGAATGAGAAAGGGAAAAAAAAAAAGATAGAAAATCAGTTGTATGCAGTTGTTTAAATTTTTTTACCAAATATATTCTTGATATATGGTTATTCATTTTTTTTTTGTAAATAACAGACAAATAGAGTTTTCTGTTTGTGGATACTTATTATATTCACTGTTTGTTTACTACTTCAGAGGCAGAGTGAGACAAATTATTTGTAATAGTGATGGTTCTGAATGGTCTAAGCCAGTGATGGCGAACCTTTTTGAGCCCGAGTGCCCAAACTGCAATGCATACCAAACTGTTTTTCCTTAAAGTGCCAACACGGCAATTAAACCTGAATACTGAGGTTTACGTTTAGGAAAAACAACTCATACAGTTGTGCAAACTAATTACCATCTTTTGTTTTAAAAGAAGAACACAACAACACAGAGTTCAATGATACAAACTGTTTTTTATTGAAAAAAACTTGAATTCAAGTAAATTAAAACACACTGGTGTTTGGTGGTGCTTCACCTATTCCCACCTATCCACCTGCAGTTTGCAAGCATCTTACATTCTGCTTTGGCACAGTTTACATCAGAATTACATCCGTCTTACATCTAGTTTTGGTGCAGCTTTGTATGTATGTCAATGGACATGCCTTTTTCACCAGGTTTCTGTCCGTCCAGCTGCACCAAAACTGCATGTAAACTGTGCCAAATATGTGTACAAGGGGATACTAAACTTGTAATATGATCACATGCCAGACTGAAATTGTATGAGGAGCATCTCCTCCTCCTGCTCCTATCCCCTTCCAGCAGCTCTTATGGTATTGCAGAGATGGCTCGATGTCAAGGCATCCTGCAATACCCTCCCCCCCCCCTCACGTGGTGCCCGGCAGTGAGGCAAAGCATCGGAAGCCATCAGGCAGGCTTCCGATGCCCTGCCTGTGCGGAGTGCCTCGAGGGGTCGAGGCACTCAGTAAAGATTAAAATAATTTTATTTTTTTAAATATATATATATATATATATATATATATTTTTTTTTTTTAAACTAACCCCTTCCCTCCCTCTCCCTCCATTCCCATGTACTTACCCAATCGCAGTCGTTCCTCCACCGGCATTCAGTGTTCTTCTTCACTAGGGAGACTGTTTGACAGCAAATTAGGACCCCCAGGGGCCATGTGATCGCTCTGAGAGATCGGTCACATGGCCTCAATAGGAGTCCATAATGCTGCCAGCAGGGGGACTGCCTGAACTGACAGGCAGTCCTCCTGCTGACGAATAAAAGGTTTTAATATAAAAAAATAAAAATAACGTTAATAAATATCTCATATATAACATCATACTAAGTATTTTTTTTATTAATATATACATATATTAATATAAAAATACACTTACAGTAAAATTACACACGTGTGTATTATAAAAATAAATATTTAAAAATTAATTTAAAAAAATTAAAAATTTAATTATATATGGAATGTTATTCTAACTGTATTTTGATATTAATATTTTTATATATTTTAACTTTCCAAAAAAAAAGAAGCTAATAACATGTTAACATTGGGTATTTCTAAACTCAGGACAAAATTTAGAAACTACTTAGCACGGGTGTTTGGCGGTTGTAGATGCATAACAGATTTTGGGGGTCAAAGTTCGAAAAAGTGTAGTTTA